CTCTCTCTCTCTCTCTCTCTCTCTCTCTCTCTCTCTCTCTCTCTCTCTCTCTCTCTCTCTCTCTCTCTCTCTCCCTCTCTCTCTTTTCGTCGTTGTCTTCTTTGCAGGTGCGCGCGGCGGCTTCTTCACCCTGCAGATCCGCTATGGCGGACTTCCTCTCCGATGGCGCCTTCGGCTATGGCGCGCGACTCTGCCTGCAACACACGACGATGGCGCGTGGAATAGTGGGTACCAGTTCCGATATCAATGCAATCAGACTCGCTTCTTTTCGCACTTCACATACATGCAAACAGGTAGTGCAGCAAACTGGCGACAATCGCCCACTCAAACTCAGAGATATGGTAACCAAGAACGCAGTTCAGATACAAGCTCACTTCAAACGGCTATGGCGCAGCAGCGCCTGTACAACTCTCTGTTCACACACACAGGATCACCCTGGGAATCCCACACGCGTCACACTGTATACGCACTGTACACACACACTACACTCCTCTATCAGCTATGGCGGCTATGGCCGCTACTACCCCTATCGCTATGGCTAAGCTCTCCTTCTCGCCCACTTCGTCTTCGGGCTCACTGCAGACCACCTCACACAAGTCGCTGTGGCAGCGCTTCCACATGGCTTACGCAGGAATGAATGAATGGCTGGGCGCTGCCTCTTGATTTATACTTCTGTAGCTCGTTGGTCTGCCCCTTTCCCATGCCCGTGGTGCACACAGTCCCACATGGTACTTGCTTGACTGGACTGAGACTGACTGGGACTGGGTGCCGCTGACTCAGCACCGGTGGACTTCGCCACTTGCCCACTTGCCTCGGTCTACTGTGGGCAATTCTCGAAAGGCCACTTCCAGACCTTCCGGAAGACCGTGGACTTGGCCTTTCGGTACTGTAGCAGCTACGACCTTGACCCTTCAGGACTGTAGCAGCTACGACCTTGACCCTTCGGAGGAGCTACAGCTACGACTTCTAGGACTCACTAAGACTCCTATCCGACAGGTCTACAGATCAAACCCCTATAACCTACAGACCTACGACAACCTACCAACTTTGGGGAAAGACACAGGTCGTGGGTTCAACTCCTGGGGTCGACACAGATACTGTACACCGGTATTGTAAGGACTAGGGATCGAGCCCTGGGATCTCCAGCGGCTACTGCAAAGGTGGAATCCGTTTCACAGTTAGTAAAAGGTAGTAAAATGCTAGGAAAGTGCCCTTCCATAAAGGACCCCCTAGGTTTTAGGAACTTCACGGCTTAAGGCTTTAAGCACAAGTAGGGAAAGGTAGACAAATGATGGATAGTAGGGATTGCCATTTGAAGCATGTTTTATTTGGGAGGGTATACATACTATACAATAAAAGTAGTCAATGCTGTCAGGGTTCCCCGGGTCGTAACGCGGGAAGCATGTTGCAGGGTTGTATTTTTGGCTTGCTGGTGGATTTGCAACCGGATTGCTGTCCCCCAGAACAGGAGCCTGGTTTTCCAAAAAAAAAAAAAAAGGAGCTAAGTTCGGCGAACACATAGAATGGTAGACGGGAACACTTAACGAACAAAAAAGAAAGTACTGGGAGCTTGATGGGAAAGTACTGGATAATTGTCCAATGTCCTGACATTATGCATGATTGATTGTGTTGGCATTTGGGATGGTACAGGTGCTGTATGTCTGTCTGTGCCACTGGCGCAAGTGATTGCAGTTTTGGGTCCTCTACAGGAATTGCTAATGCGAGCTGCAAATTTCCGGGTTTTGAGGTGAGTTGCCAGAGGGCTACCCATCCCGATTACAGATGGCTCAGAAGGTTACTTAGGGTGTCCTCTTGCTAGGATTTCCAAGATGCATCTGACCACAGCTGCTGTGTGGCATGCTGGAGCCTTCCCCACCAAGCCTGGTGGCCCGGACATCTCTTGGGCTGGCCCCTCTAGGGACCTGATATGGCCTTTTCCTGGCCGAGAGGGTGTCAACCATCATGAGGCGCCCATGTGAGTGAGTTCCTGGGCAGGAATGTGTGGATTTTATCTGTTTTTTTTCTTTCTTTTATACAGGAATCGAAATTTTTATTATCCGTAAATGGAAACCGGGTCCGGCCTCCCTTACATCAGTTACTCACTCGGCCCTACCCTCCATTATGGTCAAGGAACCCTTAGACAGCGGCATTTATAACCTCCTTTTTGGGAACGATTTACCACCGCTCTACTCCTGCTTCCTTTCCTCCTGTTACGCTTAAACCGCCAGTAAGCCATACATCGGCCGCGGGCTCCATACTGCGGGCTTCGGAGGCCCGAAACACAGCACTGGCCATTCATGAAATTTATCAATGGCGCGCTGCCCTGGACTTTTCAGAGTAGGTGACGGACAATTTCTCCAGAAGGCTGGGGCCATGTACTAACGGTTTAAACTTTAAAGTGCAATAACCACGCGAGCCCGCACGAATTTGCAAGTCCATACATACAGTTTGAAACAACACACACTCAGCGCACGAGATACAAGATGAACACCATGTCAGAAACTAGAATCAATTACCGAAACTTCAAAGGATTATGAACACAGTCTCCGGTTATGTACAGGCAGCTATGGCTACTTCCTAACTCAACCAGGTAGCTCTCTCTCGTCGAGGAATGCGCATGTTGCATACTGCAATGGTGCAGACCAGAACAAGAACCGACCTCTCTCACATAATACAGGATAGCGCAGCGGAAGGCTACAATACCAATGATCAACCCAATCAATGTCGCAATGCAGACCAAACATACATCATCATCATCGCATGGTGTGAAGGGGGCTGGCGCTCACACAGGAAGAACGCGCCAGTCCCAAAACATACACAGACGAAGAGGAGGGGGATCAGACGAAGAAGAGGGGAAAGATGGGAATGTCGTCAACACCAAGTCTTCGATATGGGTCCCAAATAATCCCTCGTCCAATGTTTCAATCCGAATGTCGAGTCTGAATCCAAATGTCGTCAAGTCCCAAAGTCACCAATCTCTCTCTCTCTCGTAGTCTGCAGATACTGAGAAGTCAGGTGGCGAGAGGGTGAGGGAGTGATGGTGGACTTAGAGGAGGAAGAAGAAGAACTCTCTATCTCTCTCTCTCTCTTGTACCAAGTACTAACCTGTGAAGGTGACACCTTGTTGCAGGTACATCGAAGACAAAGCTGGAGCTATGGCGCCACAGGTAAGTCTCCCTGGCCTCCGCCCTTCTCTCTCTCTCCCAAAGCTACTCTACCTCCTAGCAGCGCCCAGCGCTGAAGACTACTCGAGCACTACTACTACTACTGCAGCGCTGCTCCAGAGTGCTGCGGCCAACTCCTGAAGACTGCCACCGGCCTCCTGACCGTGAAGTGCCCGTGAACTGCCTGGGAAGTCCCCGTGAACTACCTGCAGCCTGCAGGGCGGGCCAGTTCTATATAGTGCTGGCCCGTCCGGGAGGCTGCTCTTGCCAATGCCGAAACGTGCCAGACCCTGGCGTTGAAGTTCAAACAAAGGTTGTCTTGAAAATGGCCCAAAAATGGCCAGTGCTAAACCCTGGTCTGGCGCCTGAGTTTCAGGGCAGGTCGACTTTATGAGGGCCTGAAAATGGCGCTCTTTTTCAGGGTTTTGGGCTGAAACGACACAGTGCCTGGAGGGCCCTTATTTTCCGTCTGGTCGGGCCCTGCAGGCCCGTGTGCATGTGCAGTATGCCACAGCGCATGAACGGTGTTTGGAGGATGTATGAGATGATTTGCAGGTTAATTTGTAATTTGTCTGTCCTCTCTACGTGGATTCGTACAGTGTGGCCTCTCTCTCTCTCTCTCTCTCTCTCTCTCTCTCTCTCTC